CTGCACGGACAGGCGGGCAGCAGCCCAGGCACTGGGGTGACCAGGACCCACCCGGGACCCCGGGAAGCCGTGGAGCTGGAGGTGCTGCAGCAAGCAAGAGCCTGAGGTACGTGGTCTGCCCGCAAGGAGAAATATTTCCCACTGTAATTCCTCTTTTTAATAAACCCTTTCTATTTTTATGCTGTCTCACCCAAGCAGTGGGTTGAGTGTTCTCTATTTTACGAAGTTGCCTGCTCCAGTTTCTCCTGTAAAACCCAACTTTGGCATTTAAGAACCGTTTTGGCCTTCCCACATGCTGCGAGCGGCCCTACCTACGTCCCCGGGGCCAGGCACAGAGTCACCAGATGGAAACCTGAACACCTCTCACCTTTTTTTTTTTAAAACCAGAGATTTTAATTAGTACAACGGCAACCCCCACCCCAGAGGAGAGAGATGGGGAAGAACTGTCAGGGGGCACGGTATCGGCACTGGGCTGCTGGGAATTGCTGCGACAGCCGGCTTTCTAAACGCCCAGACCTGCCCCCGTGCTTCCAGACAGGGCAGTTTCCTAACACAGGGTTTTTATGAGCAATTCTTTGCTCTTCTGGCAAAAGCATCGATACTATGAATCATACAAGCCCCGTGGGGGTCACAGCAGCAGCCCATTACAGCTGCAGCAGATTGCTCTCAGTTGACCTTTAATCCGTAACTAACTTTTGATGCAATTTAGCACAGCTAAAGCAAGGTGCGGATCCGGGACAAACCGCTGGTGGGGTGCGGTGGACAGAGAAAAGCCCAGAGGGAATTAAAAAATACCTGTATGAAATGAAACAGCAGTAGCTTAGGACAAACACTTTAAAATATACAGAAGTCAGGAAGCTCAGAAGCTCAGCGTGACCATTAAGGAACCGTCAAGAAGGGTGAGTCAGTCCGGTCTCATTTTGAACACCTGACCTGAATGGTCCCAGCGAAGCATTTGCAGAAAGCTGTTCCCCAGGACAGGAAAAAAAAGCATCTACATCTTCATTTTGTGCCATATGACTAAGCAAGGGATATGTGCAAATTCCGGCCACCGAGCAGACACAGCAATGCTCGAGCCAACCGCCTGTACTCTAAAAACGTGGACTCTTACCAAGCGGACAAAGCGGCTGCACCCAGCGCTCACACAGACACCAGGGCCAGGCTGTCCTGGGGGGCGCGGAGCAGACGGGGACCCCAAAGTCCAGGGCACGGTATGAACAGCCGAGCAAAATCGCGCAGCCAAAAGGTGCTTCAGGAAAACGGCCATCAGCTCCCGCGCTCCCGCAGACGAGGACAGATGAGGATGAAGACAATTGTACATGCGACCGTACCCGCGGGAGCATCTGTTCGGGTCGCTGACGTCCAGACAATCCCGACGTCCAGACAATCCCGCGTGTAAGCCTGCTAGGGGATGCTGGCTGAGGCGGCTGCGCCCCAAAGTCCTTGCGCCAAGACTGGAACGGCACTTGTGGGAAACCAGGCGTCTGCCCATGCTGGTCTGATGCTTTGCAAACAGGAATTTAACATTTAAACTCTTCCTCTTGCTACATGTAAGGACAAAACCCACACTCCCATCAGTGAACACAAGGCAAAGCAGCCTCTCGCATTCATTTGAAACCTACTCTAAAACCTGTCTGCTGTTATTTTTTTTTTTTTTTCCCAAGGAGGAAAGTATTCTCTTTGGCACAATCTTTATTAAATAAATTAGAGGAGAAAGACAGTCACTATTGTAGTCTGCTAGATTATATTTAGCTTTGACTATGAATAACACTTCAGTAGACAAAACTTCCCTGAGGAGATCCAATTAACGGTATCGCATTATTCCGCGCTGGAGAAGAGCAAGGGTTGTTCAAGTGAACTTCATGTAAGGTTCTTGTTGTTTGCGTCTTCAGTATTTGCATTTTTGAGACGAGATAAACAGTGGTGAATGATGAAAGGAAAAGTATCTAGATAATTAAAAGTCTGGAGTTTTTAAGTAAAAATTCAATGCTTACAACGTGGAAACAAGATGATAAGAAACCGTGCTCAGCTCTTTCAGATGTTGAACACTCCAGAAATAGCTGAAGAACTAAAACATATAGAGCATCAAAACCTTCACTAATAATGGCAAGTTAAAAATACCCGCTGTTATCCTTGGAAGATAGCAGAGCTAAAGGACTTAAGTGACACTAATGGACTAAGAAAGAAAGAAAGAAAAAAAAAAGACAAACACCCCAGTGGGACCCTGCAATACTTGTTATTTTATAGAAATAAATCTACTGAAACAAAGGTCAGATGAAAAATAAAGTCTCGGTTTTTACTGGACTCCAGAGTTTTCAGAGGAAGAGCAGAAGATCTCGTAGGCCCTTGGGAGCTCAGCCTGGAACTGAGCCCTCGCGCCAGGTTGGGGGAATGCGCAGAGCTGATGGCTCCTGCTCCATAACCCGGGCGGTTTGTGGAGCCGCCCTCCTGAACCCATTATTTTCATACTCTTGGCATCTCAGCAATCAGCACTTTCTGCTTTGTTATCAAGTGCAGACACAGAAACGCAACGACAGGCTATGTCTACAACGAGTACGTGACGTATTTGATCTCCAGGGCGGTTGAAGGGCCATAAAACCCAGGGCAGATTGTGATGAACGTTCAACGTGCTGCTTGATGCACAGCTGTAATGTCATGATTTAACTGAAATATTAGCCTGAATTACTGTAACCCATATAGTGGGCAATTTTTAAATGGTCGTCTTTAAAAGAAGCATTTGTTACAGCAATGAATATGTTTGAGCTTGTTACCAGTTGGTGATAAAAGTTAGAGGATGAAATAGGACATATAACCATTTCTGGGACAGACAATTTTCTCTCCCTTGATTTCTCCTTGTGACTTTTAACACACAGAAACAAACACAAACCAGCTTATAACTAGTCAGAGGCAGAATGGGGACCCGTCTTCTGCCGCTCAGACTAACGTATCTCCTAGTCCAGCTCACCTTCCCAGTAAGACATCCCAAGCTGATGAGTTTTGGGGCTCCTCAGGCCACTCGGATCACCAGCTCTTTCCCAGAAGGCTCAGTCCCTCTATGCTCATCCCACAGCCGCTCCCCCTGCCAGGCAGCTGGGGGGGATTCATCTGACGGTGGGAAGCCATCAGCTCTGCTCCCCATGGCTCCCTTCACACGGCCGGACCCGAGGGTGCTGTTGTTCTTATCCCAGCGGAACCATTTCGGCAGGTGACTCGCACCCTACGGAGGCTCACCTCTCTCCAGTGACAAACGGGGGTCAGACGTGGCTGTCATCCGCCCCTTGCTGCTGGGCTAATGTCCATCCCTTCCTCTCCCCTTGCGTACACCATCTCCCTCCTAGCGAAGCTCTCTGGAAGAGCTGCAAATCCTCAATGTCATTTTTCACCTCTTTTGACTTTCCTTAGTGAGGCTCACTACAGTTATGATACATTTTGGCAATCACTTAAAATATTACTGCTCATTTCCCTATCTCTAAAAGACGATAAAGATGAATTACTGGGTAAAACATGAAGCCTTTTGTGGCACTTGGGTTTTAAATCAGAGGAATTCAAAGGAGAGTAAGGATAATAAGCCAATATATTACAATACTGTACCCAAGTCCTCAAAAAGGTGATAACTGTTTCTTAAAAACAACTGAAACTTCCCTGCCCACTGAGTCATGAACAGTCAGCCCACTGAGTTATGAACCAAGTCTAGAAGCTGACCTCAATCCTTAAACCGCAAAACCAAGGGAATTTTATCCTACTTTTAAGTAGGAATCTTAATGGGACTGTAACCACACAGCAACACTATGTAGCCTGTAGATTTACCATAATCGGGCATTTACCAAACTGTACATTAACTGCTCGGACGCGCTGAGGTGGGCAGAACAAGGTGCGTGAAACCCAGTACCTCGACAGCACTGCAAGCTTCTGCGGGGCCTTCACGACGGCTCTACGAGAGGCCTCTTCTAATAGAGGAGTGAGAAGAAAGGCAACAAAGGAAGAAATCTACGGCTTTGCAGGGATTTTAACTCTTGGCTAAAAACACATCTCCAGCAAGGGTTTCATTCAGGTTTTCTGGAAGCATCTAAGAATCATAGAATCATAGAATCTTTAAGGTTGGAAAAGACCTCTAAGATCATCAAGTCCAACCGTCATGATTGAGTGACTTGAGTCACTCCATTGAATGATTTGAGTCGCATCCTGAAAGCCAGCAACGGCTGAGATCAATGCCAGCGATCCTGATTCACGTCCTCTGTGACAAGGACCGGGCAGCTGGCGGGAGAACGCCACTGCCCCGGCAGACCAGTTTCTAGTAACAAGAACAATATCCAGGCACCACCTGAAGTCAGTGGCACAAGAATAAGTGAGAAGTAATTAAAGTAATTCTTAGAAGGATCCTCGTTCCTACCCAGCGTTACTCAGGCAGGCAGCCCACACGTGCATACAAGCGATGGGTACAAAAGCAGCCCATGGCCCGAAACCACGGACCATCCTCTCTCTCGGGACCTGTGGGGGCACAGTCAGAGCCTCCACCCCAGTGCCCGGTGCCGAAGGAACCTCAGCCAGCAGCATTCAGCGCCCTCAAGACTGCTGATGCACTCAGGGAAGGAGAAGAGAAAGGTGGGTGTGTAAACATTAGCTGCGCCTCTCGGAAAAATGCTGGTTACTGGTGAGCATTCCGCCTTCCTTCAAGGACATGTGTGTTGTGAATGATTCCAGGTCACAAACACGGTATCAATAACCTGCCAGAATGAAACAGCAACAGGAGAGGCACCCTGTGGAGTGCTACGTGGCTTCCTGGGGTTTCAGAGGCCCCATCGTACTTGCTGAGGATACGGATGGATCTCTGCACGGGCACACATCAGGTACGGGGGACGGATGGGCAGACATCGGAGCCTGGGCTCTGGCAGAGCCCGCTCTGGCCACACTTGTACCCGGTGATCAGAGAAGTGCAGGACCTCATTCGCCCAGGCTACAGGTCAAGGAAAGAAGTTTCTGAAAAGCTTATCATATTTTTTTCTTGCCTAAAATACAGTTTTAACAAATACATGCGTGCTCGCAATAAGGACTTGAGGCAATCGATCATTGTCCTTCATACCCCTGCCCAGTTTCTGGGCAGTACGCAGTCTGGCGTGCACCGAGTAGCTCTTGCGGAATAGCGCATTAAAACGAACACTTACATCAGTTTTGGATTTGCAAGTCTCTTGCCGGTCTTTTAGCATCTTGTCAAGGACTCCACTCCTGCACCAGACATTAAATACCGTTTTCCCGTGCTGATATCCTACTTCCTGGAAAAAAGAGAGTCAGGAGAAAAAGGTAATTAATAGTAAAACCCCATTATGTCACATTTTCTGCAAATCAGAGGTCTACCCCAGAGCCAGGATGTACTTTTGCTACCTTCCAGCCTCAGCTTATGAGCTGTTCAGCCTAAGGATTAGGGGAACTATTAAGCAAACAAGGTACTATTTTAAGTCCAAATGCTAACGTGACCGTTGACCCCACAGTATGCAACAAAAAGTGCCACCTGACACAACTATTTTTACAGCAGTGGCTTCGAGCAGGCTGTTCACAGAATAATGCCATATAAAGAGAAGCTTTGGACACATACGTATACGCCCTTCCAGTACCGGCTCGCTCTTTGGAAGATGGAAATGCCACAGATTAATTTGTGTCTTCTCCCCTCTTGGCTCCAGAATAGTCAAGAGAAAAAAACTTTTTTAGCAAAGAGAAGTTATCGTAGGGCAGCTGGTTCCAAAGTCTCTTGCAACGAGTTAAGCCAGACAGCAACGAACATGCAAACGTCAGTTTGCTGGAGCAGAAGTGACAGCACATGGACAACACCAAACCCACAATCTCCACGTTCCTCTAATTTAAAAGTATAAAGTAATTTGCACTTGGAATAATAACATGGCACTGCGTCATTGGCATGGAAACAACTGGAAAGAATAAATCGATTGCTCCAAGTTGTACTCTTTTTCTAAGACGATAGTAGAAACGGTGTTGAAAAATCAAATTGAAAGGACAGAGCAACAGGTGTCAAGAGTCCCGGATCCTATTTCCAGCTCTCCCGCTGGCAGCATGCACTGGACCCCAGGCTTGCACGGCAACTCCGAGCGCTGGAAGCTGCCCTGGCTGAGCTGGTATTCTCTTTCCTCTGGTTTTTGGACCAGGGTTCAAAGCACGGGAGGCATGCTGGCTGGAATTCACCTCTCGTAATCTGTTGTAGCTCCTCAGCCCAGGGTGGATGTGATTAGTCAGGAGGAAAAGGGATTTGAGAGATCTACAACTGGCTGGGTCAGATTGGTGCGAAGTAACTGCGAGAACCCGAGCTTTGGGAAATGACGTGCAGCCGACATTGCTCTGGGCTGACACAGAAGAGGGGTTTGACAAGAAGAGGGGATTTTTGTTCTTTTGAACATACGGTGCCCGTTTCTATCTTCTGTAAACTCCAGGTACATAGCTGAAATAAACCCCCCACTACTTCATAGCCTATAACGGTCAAGGAATGCGTAGGATGCCCTTTCCTTTAAGGTCAGCACAGTTTAAAGCTTCCCTGTGGATAAAAGTTATGTCGCTACACTGCAGGGAATGAAAATCCAAGAGGGTGCTGCCCCTCCGCACCTGCAGGGTCTCGTGCCAAGAACTGCCTCACAGAAAGTCACATCTCTCAAGTTTTATTCCACTGAGAAAAAAAATTGCCTGGCGTCTTTAAATCTCTTTAACGACACCAAATTAGACAGAGCCAGAACAATGATTTGACAGCTCACTATCTGTTACTGTGATGAACTACCGGACCCGTTCATCAAGGTTTTCAAAATGGCCAGGGCACTCCATCTAGCGAAGAATATTATTTATCAGCAAAGTCTTAGATCCACCGTTGGCAGACAGACTGTTTGCCCAGGAGCTATGAGACACCACATATCCTTGAGAAAATATTTATATTGGGGAAATCAGCTGGTGGCTTGGAATAGCTGCTCTTTGGCCCTAACGACTCTCTCAAACGCGAATCTGCAGGGTTTAATAGTATTACGGCTTTTGGTCAGTATTTATAAGACAGTATTAGAGAAATCAACCTGCAGCCTAATAGGTATTGTAGGTTCTCACTATAAATAAAAAGGAGATCAAGTTAAAGAAAAATTGTTGTGGGTTTTTTTTTTCTCAGCCTAGAAGAGCAAAGCTATGCAGAAGCACCTGAACACAGAAGACGCTTCACAGCGGAAGCAGGCAAAGAATGGAAAGAGACAGTGAAATGACTTCTTTGACAAGAGACAATGAGCCAGAATTGCTATCATTACCTCAACCTGGGCAGAGCCGGTTTGTTGTGCATGCTGAATTATGTCACTAAGACAATCCCACTGCACATCTGGAGTCAGTTCTACCCATGCTGGTTGCCGACACATAAACAAACAAAACTAAGTCCCAGCGGCGTGTAACCTGGTACTACCCTTTTTACAACGTCCTTCCACTGACATTGGTGCCGTTTTCCTGATACTCTATCAGGTGCAGAGGAATTGTGGATGATATGTTTTATTAATAGAAGTGTTGAAACGCTAACCGAGCCAGATATTTTAGCATGTTGCCCTCCATTTCAGTGATTCATGGCCTCCCCTACAGACTGCTTCAAATCTTTCATGCAACAACAAGCTACATAACGAAGGGAGAGAAATGACACCATTCGACAAACCCCAACTGCCCGAAGCAGCTCAGTCACCCAAGAGTTTTTACCAAGCAGCTGAGCCAGAATTGTCATGAAACAGAGCGAGGCAACTGATCCCTTCACAGGTCATTATATAATCAAGGTTACTAACTCGATTTCTGCTGTTAATCCAATCTCACGGCCATGATATCATTCCACAGCGTTATTTAGCGTCAGTTATTCAGTCTGTGCCAACCGACTTCTCTTGCTCTCGTAGCTTAGGCACTAATTAGCAACACAAACCAGCAGATTTCTGTGGAACGGCAATATGGGGGAACTGCCTTCCCCAGGATGCACTTACACAGATTTCATCGAATTTCCCAAAGTCCAGGGTACCGTATCGGTCAATGGGCGGCCGGATATACTCGCAGTAATCGCTGTTCTTCACCATCTCCAGCTGCCGCACACAGCACACGTACGCAAGCCGCGTCTGGATCTCTGCCATATTCAGCACCTGCCAACGAGGCCAGACACCCCAATCATGATTAATTCAGAAATTTAATTTCAGAGTATGTTCTGTGTTCACGGTGGAGAAAAAGCAAGTTGTTATCAATTTTTTTTTCCCACCAAAGCCTGCTGAAGCCTTCACACAGCGGCACCTCCATCTGTTTCCCAGGCAGTGTGGACAGCTAGCCAATGAGTCTCCATAATCAAGAGCAGAAAGGGAATTGCCCTCAAACACATTTCTGCAGTTCAAGGTTGAACTGAGTCTTTAATTCCAGGATATAGTGGTACCTTAAGAAAGAGATCTGTGCTGCGCTGAGAGGGGCACAGTCATCCTTCACGGAATCAGTGATGATCTCTGTGGTACCAGGGCAGAGATTTCACAGAATGGTTGAGGTTGACAGGGACCTCTCCAGATCATCTAGTCCAACCCTCCCAGCCCAAGCAGAGTCAGCTGGGGCAGGTTGTCCAAGACCACGTCCAGCTGAGCTCTGACTGTCTCCACAGATGGAGACTCTACAGTCTCTGTGGTTGGCCTGTGTTTCACCACCCTGGTAAAAAAAGCATTTTCTGGTGTTCAGAAGGAATCTCGTGTTTTCATGTGTGCCTCCTGTCATTTGGGCAGTTGTAATATCTCACTGGGCACTACTGAGAAGAGTGAGGGTCTCCCATTTCCCCCCACCAAACGCTGGGAGCAGCAGAGTCAACCCAAGGCACAGCTGGGCACGGCTGCACCTACTCCAGACGGCCACCTCCCAGGCAGATGAGTTATTACAGAGAAAAAAACAAACAACTTTAGATTAGAGCCCATTACCCACAGTTTGTAGTATTTTCCCCAACTTTGGGAAGCACAAACAAGTATTTTACTTCCAATTCCAACAGGAGAAGGTGTTAATTGTAGTTGGGAGGGAAAAAGAAAAAACAGCATTCACCTGGGGGACACCTGCAGAGCCAGATAATTTAGGAAACGCAGAAGAATAAGTAACAGAGTTGGCCTGAGTACATGCAACAAGAGAAAAAAGTAACCATGCTCCACAGCCCTGCATTTATTGGTAGTAGTAATGTTAATTACCGCCTAGTGCTAAAGTCTCCCTAAATCAACAGCTCAGAGACATACAGGACATAAACACTGAATGGGACAAAGTCACTACTTTTCTTGGTAAAATTCGTAAATTCTGACTTTATCGAAACTTAATGCACCTCTAAGAAAATGTTTCTGTCCTCTAACAATTCTACCACCCCCTTCCCAGACTGGGGCTCTGCCCTCTCCCACGTCACTGCCTTTCCTTTGGTGGCAGGACACTGCCCAGCTGTCTTCATCCACGAGTAAGAGCTCGAACCCAAGCAAGACGATGGTCTGTCACCGGGCTTGCTCCCTGAATGAACATGGGGAAGCTTCCTGCTCGTTAAATAAAACCCGCTGCCATTTAAATACAGTCTACAATACCTTGACTTTCTCAGCCAGTGGGTTCCACCTCTTCCAGAGCAGCCACCAGCCAGACAAGCAGTCGCCGTAGTTGGTGAGGTCTGTCTCATCCCGGCTCCCCACATCGATCGCGATCACCACCTTTGCGCCCATGGACCTCGCAACATCGGCTAGCGGGAAAGAAGGTCGTCTCAGTACCAGTGCTGCCAACGCTGGTGCTGCTCAGCCAAAGCTTACGTACGTATCGCTAGGGAGTATATACCCTGACGTCGTACCTACCCCGAGCATCTCGGAGCAGCTCAGATATAAACATTTGCAGGAATTCTGCCGAGACAGCCTTTGCCTGGAGAGATCCCAGCGCGCTGCCCGCTCCGCACCAACCGAGCCCCTGCGTAACCTCAGGGTGAGCTCCCACTGCTGAACTGCCGGTGAACGTCATTTACGGGGTAAGTGCTACCCAGATCGGCCACGCTGCCACCAGAACTAACGTGGGGAAGAGGAGGTGGGACACGCGCAGCTCGGGCCCACAGTTACACCAGAGTAGGTATAATGGGAAAGAGCACATTAAACCCACGTTAATTCCACCTCGTGCAGCAGCTCTCATGAGAACAAAAGATCTGGGGGACGTGTAGAGAGCACAAGTGGCAGTGGCCTTCAAGAGGAGATGCGGGAGCGCAGGGCTCATCCCTGTAGATGGAAGGCAACAAAGGAAAGGAGCAGCGCGGGAACCAGCCTGCACGGGGAGGCTGGGAGAAAAGCTTTGGGATCCAAGAGAAAGATTCATATTTGGAAGTGGCAGAGAAACGAGGCAACACTTCCTACAGTCAGCTAATGGACGAGCTGCAGCCCTGAGATTCGGGCGAGGATTTCGGGAAGTGCCAAGGGAGGGAAGAGAAGGACACGTACCTCACAGAATGAATTTATATTTCTTCCACACCCCCAGAGTCCAAGATAGTTGCAGTTTCCAAAATAGTTATGCGTAGGAAAACCACAGCTCTGAAGAACCAATTTAGATGCTTAATTTGACACTTTTTAAAATGAGATCTGTTCTGTAACTTGGCTTTATATTCCTGGGCTCGTTCAGTCTATTGTGTCGTTTCCACCCAGCGTCACCTGCGCGTGTGCTCTTTGCTCTCTCCAACACGTGCAGGGGGAAAGGTGCCCTGGTTTGCAATTCATACTCGTGCTTACAGACAGAAAGAGTG